AAACGACTTTTAACAGAGAAACATTTCGAGATTCTGAAACGTTTACGGCAAAACGACCAAGTTTTACTGTTTGAGCCAGATAAAGGCTCGGGAATCATCTTGCCGAAGAAAGCTGTCTATATTGATAAGATGACTACCATCCTCTCGGACAGACAGAAAGGACACACACATTTGATGGAAAAAGCGGTGTCCAAAATATTAGGACGTCTCAAACAATCCGGTTGACACCAATACTTTCGAGTATACCCCACTGGCCTATATTGATAAGATGACTACCATCCTCTCGGACAGACAGAAAGACAAGACACATTTGATGGAAAAAGCGGTGTCCAAAATATTAGGACGTCTCAAACAATCCGGTTGACACCAATACTTTCGAGTATATCCGCCCCACTGGCACAACAATTCCTCGGATCTATGGTCTCCCGAAAGTGCACAAACGCGGAATACCTCTCAGACCCATCCTCGATACGGCTAATTTTCCTTATGCTTTAGCCAGCTGGCTTGCCACTCTGTTAGAACCAACCAGGAAAGAAATATCGACACAGCCTAAGAAACAATTTTGATTTCGTCGATCAGATTAGAGATTTCAAGGTTGATATACACTCCATGTTATCTCTGGACGTCGAGCCACTCACTGAGACAATAGACTATGTTTGCGACTTGATTGAGTGCAACGCTAAGGACATTGTAATTCCCATCTCGGATCTCAAGGAACTCCTGCTCCTTTGTACCTACAATGTTCAGTTAACTTTGAACAATCAAATTTATAGACAGCAGGAGGGGGTCGCGATCGGGTGTCATCTAGGCCCCATGTTGGCAGATTTCTTCATGATCAAACTAGAGACTCAAAAATTAGACGCACTCATTGGACGGTTAATATAGTATCGCCGCTACGTGGACGACATTTTCGTGCTTGCCGACGAAACTATCAGCACAACAGACATCCGAAACAGTTTCAATTTAGTCTATACTAATAGTAAGATTACTATCAAATCAGAACAGAGCGGACAGTTAAGTTTCCTCGATGTCAATGCTAGAAGGATGACTGAGGGAACCATAGAACGCAAAGTCCACGGAACGCAAACGTGAGAAGGTCGTTATATTCACTTTGATAGCTCCGTTCCACTGCAACACAGCGTAATCTTATTAGATACCTGACTGAGATAGCAATGAAGATATACTCCCTTGACTGCTTAGAGGAGGAACTAAAGTACTTGGGACGCACATTCCTGCAGAACGGATATCCTGAAAGGTTCGTACTCAAGACTATGGAAGCCGGTAAGCCCAAACCTACACAATGTTCCGTTGGGAAGAAGGCCGTTCACACCAGGCTTTTATTCAAATGTGACTCGGTTGCTGAACTAATCACCAGAAGGCTTAGAAGCTCTGTTGATACTGCACACTTGGCTGTTAATCTGTGTGTGAGCTTCAACTCCAGCCCCAGTATCAAATTCCACCTGAAGGACAAATTGACATGTTCTACAATCAGCTTTTTTGTGTACTCATTTTTATGCTCGTGCCGAGCATCATACGTTGGTTACACGACAAGACATTTGTCGGACAGAATGCGAGAACGCAATCCCGTGTCTCTGAGTGGTAGTTGGGAGAAACCAAGCGCAAGCTCGATTGCATCACATTTGGCAGAAACCAGTCGTCTTAGACAAGGAGCAAGCCTTCACTAACATATACTGCGTACCTCTAGACCGATCACGGCCGGTACGATCCAGACTACTATCGATCTCAGAGTGGGTCTACAACTTTGCGTCCAAACGAAACTTGTGCGACCTCTGAACTTGAACTAGTGTACGAAACATCCGGTTCCAGAAGTCTGTCTGACACTGACGTCACATACCTGAATCCGTGACCCATTGACCTATCCCTCATTCAACCCCCTTCCTCTGATTTCTATTATCTAGAGTGTATGTTGATTTACATTCATTTCATTTATTTCTTGTACCATATAAATTTGTGACGTATCAGCCAAGAAGAAAAATCACAAAAAACAAGCTTGTTCGTTGCCTTCTTCGTTCTCATGACTGCCACGAGTATGTTCAGCCACTTGAATAAGATGCTACTAAAAATTTCCTAGTTTTTCTTAACAGAAAGCATCAACATCATGTGGGTTGGGTGCCAAAACTAGGCAGAACTGCAGTTTTAAGCGTGATTTGCTTAGATGTGGTCCATGATTACCTACACAAAACGCGTTAGCCGAGTAACCGCCCCTTCGCACTCTTCATTATACAAATTTTTTGTTAATAAGTAGCAAATTCGATGGACTCACGACATCTCACTATCGCGTACAGGGCGACGGTGCGTTCCATGATTGTGCATGCTCCTGGATTCTGTAACAGATAACGGTATCGACTTGGGAAACCAACCGAGAAAATTGGAGGTTCACCTAGTTGTACAATAATCTTTCGCAGTAAGGCCCTGTCTCATTTCATCGGTTTAATATATGGGCGAGCAACCTAACTTTACATTCCAACTCGGATTTTATCCTACGGATGAAGTCGATTGATGCTAGTAATACGACCGACGCCACACAAATGTTTCGCCCTTGTTTGAACTTTTCAGCTGTATGAACCCCGTTGGTCGCTAGAGCTGTGAGCTCAAGGTCCATAATTTTGGTCACTATGGCATTCTACAATGAAAGACCTGTTTCGTAGGGATGAATTTGTATGTAGTATATTTTTCCATTGACCCTTCAGTCACGTGATTTGTACCGCGTACCGACTTGTTCCTTTAAGAAGACTTCTCTATGTTCGCCTCCTGCAATAATCGTGTTTAAGATGGTCGGCCATGACCTGCAGCAATCTCGGAGCATGTGCAGTCATATCATCGCCAGAGAGAACAAAGTTGCCCCAGGAGCGTAACAAGCAGTTCAGCACTAAAATATAACTGGTGACAAGTGATAAATGATATGGTGATTCAGCTTGGAGGCGCAGATTATATTCAGCAGTCAACGAATTTGGGTTTTCCTGAAGGTAACAATGACTACCAGAACTTAAGTCATTTAAACTTCACGTCGGGAACCAGGAGATGATGACATATCTCAGAAGTCCGTATTTTCCCTGGAAAGAATTTATTGCGGGAAATTTGCTGGTTGGTTTCCAGTATCTTAAAACTGCGCACCACATCATGAGACTTTCTGTTGATGCTTGCACCTGCTATCTATCTTGTTATTCTTATGGAATAGAAATGCTGGATTCACCACAGACTAGCCGAAATAGGATAATGTGTCACTCTCCTAGTCTAAAATATGGTAATTTCGAGGAGGTAAATGTACGTAGACTGAGGTGATCAAATTTCGAGACTTTAATGTCTGTTACTCCATTTATTTTGTAGATTAAATTTTTCCGCCCAGTGGTATTACCCGAATGTGAGAAAATTGTCGCAGGCATTATTCATGTTGCTTCATTTTATTGGCACTACTGAAACAATGTTTCCGGTTTTGTGTATTCTTGCAGGGTATAGCCGAAAATGTTGTATAAGTTGAGTGACGTGTGATGCTGGACAACTGATGAAGGTTCTTGGAATGTCATTCATTCTTAGGTAACATGTTTGACTTTCCCATACTAACAGACACACACCGGTCCCACAAACCTCACATAGCTTCAGAACGGACTATCCTCATAATTCAATATTATTGCCTACGCAAAGCAGAAAGCAGAAGCGTGGTCTTGTCACCGGATATGTCTGTCTACTACAGCGAAACCAAAAATGCAATAGGCTCAACTCATTGGTAGCCACCTACAAACAAGGTAAAGGGGGAGTAACGGAAACCAAGCAACCAATAAAGTAAATAAAAGCTTGCTGGATGGTGTTTTATAGTCGCAGGCAGCATGCGTTGCTGAATAGTTTCAAAGCTGATGTGTAATTTTCATCTTGTGTGTTACAGCTGAGCTACTTTTTGTTTGACAGTAAAAGCAGAATGGTCTGGGATTTCGTTTTCAATCCCCATAGTCGTTCTGCAAACAAACACTCAAAAGTACACTGAAGCGTCTCCACTATGGACAACGGGTCCTCTTAAAAGAGGGGACAAATATAAAACATTTCCAGCATATGTGCAAACTCTGCCAAGATATCGACTGAAATGACTAATTCAGTAGAATTTCACGCCTACAGAAATGATCAAATACAATCTCACTGTGACCTTTGCTTCAAGGCGAGGGTTACGTTCAGTAGTTTAGGGTAGCTTGGAATAACTTAGTTATATTCCCGGTGAAATCGATTCCTTCAAAGAGAACTTGAATGAAAAATTCATAAATCAGTTTTTAATTCTGGGTACATGCCAGAACTAATCAATCATGAATGGTCCTCTACGAAGGCGACCCAGATTATTGATAGGCTACAAAAAGCGTAATAGGGGATGGCCTGTCCAATAAAACCAAATGACTTTTTTATTGCGGCAGTGTTCCACAGACACCTGAAGAAAGGATTTGGTCTTCACTTTGTCACATAATTGTTACATACTGGTCACTTTGGTTCACGCTGGTTGTTAGCATGTCTTTTTGGAAGCTAAGCACTCTGACAGTGCGTTCAAATACTAGAGTTTGAATACAAATATCATTTAGTTTTCGATCTTGCCCTACGAACACAATTTCCGGATTCGGTTGCAGTTAGTCTACTTCTCAAGGTTTGTTCAGGTTTTTCTCTCACAGAATATGAGACTGCTTGGTTGAGTTCAAATTTTTGAGTGCAAAAGGAATTTGACGAAAACCATCTAGATGAAAGTCAAACAAAGATCATCGTCCATCCTGAAGGCTTCAGCCTTGGGACACTAGTTGATTTGGCTTGTTTACTTGGTGACAAAGGAAGGTTAAAAATTATGAAATAGTCAGTAAAACTGGAAGAATTACTAACTTACAACATTGTCATCAGAACTCCGTCGGACAAGTGCCATGGGGTAATGTTGGATAAGATGAAACGTAAATAAGCAACGTCGTCTAAAATAAACCAGAGTCAACAACGAACTAATGACATCTGCCACAATAAAGATGCAAGAATTGGCAGGACGTTGCCGTCTTGAGACTATCGATCCTTCATCAGGAGATGCAATGAAAGGAATCAAACCAATGGGCCCTAATGCTTCTAAGCGCTATCGACGTACCATAATATTTGTCTATGTCCTCTGGATAGCAATGGAAAGCAGTAATTTTGAGTCGCAAACTTTGGACGTTGATTTCTTGTTCATGAGGGGTGAGTTTCCTTATCCTAACTTTGCTGTAAGAGCACAGTTTCTGAAAACATATCCCATGAAAAATAAATGAGTGTAAACCGGAACATTCCGAGTAACGGTTTAAAGAGTACTCGACGAACAGCGTAAAACTTCAGTTCACTTGGCAATTCAAATAAAATTGATGTGTTCGTAAATTGGGATGGACGGCGTCGCAACAGTGATAAAGTTTCCGTTCTGTCAACCAGAGACTTCCCAGGCAATAGCTTCAAAGCAAATTATTATGACGCGATAGATATTGCCTTATTGAATTCTGGTCCGGTATTTCGGTTTGGAAGTTTCAATGCTATAATTGTAACTTGAAAGTACTTCTGTTTTCGCCTGTTCCCAACCAACGTGGAATACCGGAGTAACTTAGGCATGCATCAGGTTCAGATCCACTAGCCCTAAGGTACGCCATCATCAGCAAACGCTTAAAGTGACTCCTTCTCAATTGATGCAGGTATTCATAATTTGCCCCATTATTATTGCCTATTGTGTCATGCACACACTTTACCTGAGTTACTTCTATTGGATTTACAAGCATTAGCGTACTTTTCTCGTCATGCTGGCGTATGACTGAGCCTTGGAATGTCAACATTTTCATCACCTCTATTATTGGCACAGTCAAAACGGAAATGATTTTTTAAACTGACTACACTGTCAATATTTTGCAGATCCTTTTTCTGAGGATGCTGTACACGAGCGATCTGCATGAGTTTTTAGCTTCGTTGAAAATAGGAGCCAGTTGTTTTGAAACATGGTCCCGATTATGATTACCAGTCTGTCACAACAAATGTTCACTCAGAAATCCCGTCTTCTTTGATGCTGTGTAGACTGGTGGGGTATTGTGTATAGAAGGAGGAAGGTACGTGACATTATGACAAACGTATGGTTCTGAGAAACAAAAGATCATAGCACCTACGCATAAGGTAGTTTGTTCAAATTAATAAGATACATACTTCATTTACATTTTGATTTTGGTCACTCTTGCATTGAAACTATGCAAAATATAGTTTCAAAATGCCATTAAATCCTTAGGTTCTTTTTATCTGTGATCAATTATAAAGTTAACGTAACTGGTTACTCTACATATACTCAAACGATAAACAAGGAGGAAGGTACGTGACATTATGACAAACGTATGGTTCTGAGAAACAAAAGATCATAGCACCTACGCATAAGGTAGTTTGTTCAAATTAATAAGATACATACTTCATTTACATTTTGATTTTGGTCACTCTTGCATTGAAACTATGCAAAATATAGTTTCAAAATGCCATTAAATCCTTAGGTTCTTTTTATCTGTGATCAATTATAAAGTTAACGTAACTGGTTACTCTACATATACTCAAATCGATAAACACAATGGAATTGGTTTTTTTCCTGAGGGTGGTTAAAATGCTTAATGGACTGCACAGATTGTCCAGTCTCTACCGAATGGTCATTAGAAATAGTATCTGGATTGTATTGGTGACACGATAGAAATATATCTGTGACTCTAGTTGTCAAGTTGATCGAAGAAACGGCCGTTCAAAATGGCTTCGGTCTCTTTCGTAGACGAGGGCCTCCCAGGTTCCAAGGCACTGAATAGTGCAACAAATGAAGTTATATAGGCTAATTCATCTGATAGAATAACTTTTTGAGAACCACAACTGTCAAAAAGGAATTAGAACAATCTGTTTTTGTGCTCGACATTCTTCTGTGGGACATAACTGCGGTTGTCTTTTGACTAGGACATAACGAAATCAGACGAAAATGTACAGCCATCTCCTGTATTCGATGGAACATAAGGAATCCTACAGACAAATGAGGGCAAATGTGTTGTTAGTTTCACTCAAGAAAAGCTACATCATGTGTCATTTGTGGAGGCGCTGCAAAGAAAAACAGCAAACGTTTCTGGGAATCAGTGAGTTGCTGGAGTCTCAAAGACAAGGTTATTACCAACCACCTCCTCCATTGTGCATGACCTAATGAAGTCATTCGGCTCTCGTCCACTCTACGCGCGTTTATCAAAAGGTGTGTCTCGTTCAGTTGACAACGCAGAAAGCCATTCCGATACGTACACCCGACAAAACCCAAGCGGAATTTGCATCACAACAATTTTTCTGTCCAGTGGTTGCAATAAACTTTACAAACTTTCCCATCGTGTTAACAAAATTCACAAGATCGAAGAGCAAGAGCTGACACACGAGTTTGAGACGTTAAAAATGTTTGAACTCCCAGTTCCACACAAAAATCAACATCAGTGCCTCCGTGCTACATGTGTCCCTTGGTGCGCTGGCATTACCTAATTATAAGGATAAAACATTCAATTAAAAGAATTAGGCATGTTTTTCGTCCTAGAATGAGACGTATACCAGGCAAGGATATCTGGCCAGGGTGAAGCTAGAATGTGACGTGGTTGAATTATTGTTTGCTGGGTAGGATACAGAATAAGTCACAAAGGAAAATTGTTTCAACCAAAAGGAATGATATGATGAATGAACATGCGAGCTATTGAGATCGAACCCGACAGAGTTTCCAGAACGCGCTATCCTAAACGGCGCATTCCGAGAGTCAAAACTGTTTAGTTCCCAGAAGTACCAGCGACTCCTTAGAACAATTAGGCTTCTAAGTGAAATACAATTTCCAACCTAGCTAGTGAAGAGGCAAACTTTTGTGTTCACTGAAATACTTGTAAAACGTTCCATATGACGGGACGTATAATGTATGACGTATAGTGTCAAAAAGAAACAAACATATATCACGAAGATGAAAACTGATCAGAGTGGACTGCGAACTTCAATCGGACTTCTGTTTGTCACCTCTCACAAAGCGTAGTATCGGGATGTAAAAGATAGACATTGTGAATTATGATTTTGGTTAAAGATGGGTCAGCTCAGCACCAGATTATCCTTCGAAGATGGCATTCTGGCAATTGATGGGATGAGTACGGACAATTTGAAAGCTGCTGATCAGTTCAACGGACTTTCGAAATGGCATACAGAAGACTGATCATCACTTATGGAGATATTACTGATACGCGGTCGGATGGATAAGCCCTCCTTCGCTTGTGTTGATATAGAGTTTACGAGTGTCATATCTCTGGATGTGATTGGCTAAAATCGGGTTAGCACAATATTCAAGTTTCTGCAACCCTTCGGTCTACTGCTTCTCCCAGTTTCACCCCGGAACTGCCACTTTCCGATAGTTTTGTTTGCTGTTTTGTCCGATTCACACACACTTTATGCAACATTGTGGTCTGCGCCGTTCTAGTTTGATTGGCTTCGCTACAATCCTCTATTTTCTATGTCTTAAATGAATCATTCTCAATTAACATTTACTCGTGGTTTGATTAGCTGGATTCTGATCGACTGACTGCGTTCTCCCAAAGCACGAATTTTTTCGGTTAACTTCGGGGATTCCTTCAATCCTTTGGACTGTTTGGTTTGAGGTTTAAAGTAGAGCTTGTTCGGATAGACTTGTATCCTAGATCCAAGCTCCCGTGATTGTGGTAGAAGCGGAAGTTGAGCTATAAAATCGTGCGTTCTGATGGGTCGTGTTTTAACTAGTGAATTCTCCTAAACAGCCGCTTGAACTGAACCTATCGGCACTTTGAATATCTCTACTCTCCAGCATACTAAATTCTACCGTTGGGAGCTCCTTCACACAGTTACATAAACACAGCACTAGCCAAGCTGTGAAGAATTGTTATAGGTAACAAATTATTTTAGAGAATACCTAGAATATATGTACATGTACGTGCATATATATAATATATGTTGCAAAACACAAGTAAGAAACTTCGGTTTCTCAGAAACGACTCTGTTCACAGTTCAATGCAGTGGACCGAAGAATAATAGTGAGTTCCTCACAAACAATCACCTAAAACATAAATACAGCATAAGTACGTATGTATGCACACAAATATCCGCTAACCCAAAGTAATTCTAAAATCAGCTCCACGTCAAGCCAACCTCTCATAGCACGAAAAAATCCCGTACAGCGCATATTTTCAGATTTTTTGGATGGATGATGAACTATCAACTACCAGGCTATTGATATAGTATATCAAATTAGGACGACTGTTTTTTCTCCAAAACGTTTTTCTGAAAAAATCTTTCTATATGCTTCCTCGTCAATACGGATCAATTTTACCCCGGTTTTTAATGATAAGAAGTTGGTTAATGTGGAGCCTCCGAATTTTTATCTGCTCCACACTTTAGCTGATCGTTTGTACATCCCGCAAATCCTGTCTATGAGAAAGTCAGATTCTCTTGCAATTAGTCGGTCCTATGAACTATCTGATATTCTGGCTTCATTAGCTTCACTGGAAGGTCAGATTTTCCTGCCAGTTCTCGACTTCTCCAGGATGTAACTGTGTGTTTGAGAACATATAGTTTGGAGATGCTTCAGAACTTGAAGACAGAATGAGAATGAAGAGACTCGAGCTAATTATAGAGTACAGTTTAGTGAATAAAAAATCTATGCAGTCAAAAAGTCAGTACGTGTAAAACTTGAGTTTGTCAAAGTAATATTTATATATAACACCCTTAGCTTTATTTACAACCATCTAACCAGAGTGGACATACACAACTGGTGATCAGTAGCAAAATTCTAGAGTGTCGTTTCAATTCTCCGAAGAGCAGACAACAAATCTTGTTAGTGAATGGAGATACTTCATGACAGGAAACTATGCGCGCGTCTCTACTCCATAGTTTATCAACCAGTCTTCATAACCGCTTCGTCTTTGTCTGCTCCCCAAACTATCCTGTCATTTTATGATTTCGCCTGTAATATCCCTGTAGATTATGGAATTGGATAACTACTGAAAATCATGAGGAGGACATTATTCCCCTTTGCATCCATGACACTTTGAGGCTTCTTCGTCTGACAACCGAGGATAATTAATGAGTTGAGTGCTCCTCATTCTGCTTAGAGCCATCCCCAAGTGACACAGTAATTTAGAACGTCATTTGCACCGCGTGTTTCACCGCTCATTCGCCAGAGGGGTCAGCCGGCGTGAGCACTCAAGACTTTGATCATAAGGTCGACAAACAATTTGCATAATGTTTAGGTGCTGTTGCGTGAGGTTGGAGTCTGAGGAGTATCAAAAGGAATGTTCCATCCATGTTAATATAAATTCTAACCATTTAGCTTAAGATTAGCGTTCACAATTTTCAAAAAAGGTTAAATCTCACCAAAATGGGTGTTTGATCACAATTCAGAAACAAAGTTTCAAATTTTCGTCACAAATAAATGTGGGATACAGATATCTTGAAAGCAAATGCATGCTTGAGAGGCAAGTTTCACTGGTGTACGACTTCGGTGATTGCACTATTTGTAACACATGTCTCGTGTGTAAAAATTAAACTTTGCCGGATTGGGCAGAGATGTAAAGATAATGCACTAGCAGCTGATACACTGAGGTCGTTTTTATCCGTCGTTTTAATAAGCTGGATCACCTGATTCGATTGTGAAACTTTACGCTAATCGACCAAACAGTAGATACCCGGAGCGCTCTTGTATTTTGATGACAGTCCCTGGGACTAACTGGAAGATTGCAATGGATTAGCTGAAAATTGTTTGACGCAGCACAATTGCACGCTCTCAAGGGGAAAGACACGTCTGTCTTGCAAGCCAAATAACAATCAGCTAGTATACGTGTATTTCTAGAATGCGTCAGTTTGATTCGACTGGGTGATTGGTCTGTAACCCCCCTCCCAGTCTACTACAGTCTGTTTCCCGTAAAGTTTTTTTTTCGGATAGTCACGATCAATGCTCCCAACAAAACAGAGTGGACGAAAAACGATTGCGTGGATCTGCTTAATGAAGGCATTTTTTCCAGCCAGGCATCACTGTGGTACAAACTGTGTAGCCGCGTTTTCATGCAATATGACCAATGGCTGGTACAGCGTTCCTGTTATCGATGGTGAGTTATGCTAAACAGGAAATGTGGAAGAGAGAATGGGGAAAAGTAGTTGCTATTGATAGAAAAAGGAATCAAAGGCGCGATAGAAATGGCGCAGCAAGAAGATTTGCTGGTCCATTAGATGTCCCATGGAGGGGCACTATTTATGGCCTTTGTAGCCATTTCAACAACGTTTGCCCATTTCTATCAACCTTCCAATCTGGTGTGTGTTTAAGTCTTCCCATTATCAGTCCACGCAGTTCAATAAAATTTCAAGTTTTAACTGAAACAATTGCACAACAGAAGTGTGAAGAAACAACCAAATTTTTTGACAACTCCAGACAAGTTCCTAACTTGTGTGTTTCTCTTTGTGGAAAATATATGCAAAGCTTCGCGCATGAGATCTGATATTGTCAGTCTGATACTACCCATTTCCGTCAACCGTATCCATTCCTATAAAGCTTGGTGAATGTCTGTTTATGCATGGAGTCAAATTCCGCGGCATCTCTTGTGACAGGATCGACTATTCTGGTCGGCCCAGCGTTGTCGTAACAGGACTCTTGGGGACCGAGTAATCTATGTCAGTGTTTCGCGACCTAAACCAAACCAACAGTCAGGGCGTCATGGACGATTAATTAATTGTTTGTCAATAAATTGGATGAAATTTCGGACATCAAGGGCCTGAAAGATAATAAGTGAATAATGTTTGCGTCACGCCTCATGACTGTTTGACTGGTAGTCAATGCAAACGAACATTCATTTTGGGGCGAATCAACTCCGGTCGTTCTATCTAGAAAGTATTAAATTTTTGCGAGCAAATTTCTTGAATGTTGTGAAAAAATCACTTTGATCAAAGTTAGGGAACCACTGATCATACGTACAACGTTCGTCATCACGAAAAAGCATGATATCTGGTATTTAGCTATTATCTAATGAGGACGGAAATAAAGGATGAAAATCAAGACAATTAGCTTACTGTAAACGCTGATCTACACTGTTTTTTAGATATTGAGGGTCGGCAAATTTTCAGGGAAAGAGAGAGTATTCCTTTGAGACTTGTCATTCTGAAAGCGACAACTGAGACAGTCATTGCAAAAACACGATAAACCTCACCACTCAATCAATTTGGATCATTATACCTACACAGTGTTTCCAACATGAATTTGTAGTTAGAGTAGGCGAGAATGGTGGAAGTTTTTGCTCGCATAAGGAATAAATTACCAACGGGTGACATAGTGATGATCCATAAATGCTTGTGTAGGATCTGATTACCAAGGCGGAAAGATCAGACCTTCACTGTTCTCTATAAAGTGAGTGCAAATTGCAAAGACATCGATATTCCAATTTATTTAAAATTTCTCTTTGGAATACTGCTGTTTTGGATCAAATGATAAAGTGTGTAGACCTTGAGAAGGGATCCTAATATCTGATGATCTAAGAAGTCAGTCAATACTGCTATATTTCTTATACGAATTGGGGTCTCCTAAAACAAGAGTGCCAAAACAAGCAAAATTTAAAGACCAGTTTATTTACTGGAATCATGGTTCAACTAAAGCTGCGTCAGCAAACACAAATTGATAGACATTCCATTCTGAGTGAAAACACTGTATGCGGAAAAGCCAAGAAGCGCTCTGCAGCGCTTACTCCTCGTCGAGAATCATTATCAATCCGCATCTCTCGAGCCTCGGGAGGGTATCGAACCCACCTTCAACATGAGAAGTTGTTGCGCGAATAGCCAGTCGGCTCGTGTGACCATGGGATGAAGATCCCCTAACTGAAGGATTGGAGAATCTATATCCTGCCTAAAAGTGAGGTTATCACACCACCGATGATTAACTCGTCGGCAAATGTCTGTGTCCAAACTACGAGCCGAAAAGTCACAGTTTCGTGATTCCCTAGAGCCTCTCGAGATGCGCACTGTCACTGATTAAAAACAAGGATGAAGGGGCTATGCATTCCTTGTCGGCTTTTCTGTATAGAATGGCGGGATGCCAATTCGCAGATACTAACAAGGAACACCAAGGTCTAACGAAGCCTTCTTCCCAATATCGAGTATGGCCGCCGTTTTGCCTCATTCCTTGAAGCGCATTACCTGTTTGAAAATAGTCTTGAAATCGGGAACAACACTCCATGGTATTCCAAAACCTGGAAAATAGTGCATTCGTCTAACTAGCGCTCATCTTGAACAGTGTGATTACAGATAAGGAAGTCAGTTTTCTCGACAACGTAGGAAAATTTATCATGTGAATGCAGATGTTGTTTTAAATTCGTCATTTTTTTATCAACACCAGTGGACGTCCTATTTACGAAGCCTTCACATGAACATCGGAGCCACAACATCACAGGTCATAAAAGAGTTGGACAACAACGAAGTGTTGTGCGCACCTAGCTAGGTACACAGTGAACGAAACAGAAACAGAGAGTTCGTTTTCAGAAGATAAAAAGCCCATCAACCACGTGAAATTGACAGGGAGACACTTCTGCATAGACAGACCTGGTATTAGTTTACTAGTGTCAACTGATTCTGCAAAATGTTGCGCTCCTGTGCTTAATGCCCTGTATATGAAATGAAGTGAGACCACCTGGCTAACATACTAGTGACCTTCAGAAAATAGAGTGCGCTGGATTAAGCTTGCTTCGGTCTGGCATATGTTTCTGGGCACTTGGACTGGTACGTTGATTTTTTGGCTTAGTTATCTCAATAGTGTATGTTCCGTAACATTAAATCACCTCTGTCTTCCGTATATGCTTGGAGTGATCCGCGTATGAAAAGTAAGGTGGGACTAAATTTGCCTAAGGGGAGTAAAGGCGAGTTCAAGCACGGCTGATTTCGCTTGAGTTGGACGTCAACATGGAATCTTTAAATCGCAAGCCTAGAAGGGCCCCTAATTCTTGGAGGACAGATTGCTTCCCCTAATTCGGATAAGTAGAATTGTCTTCTAATGCTTTCGAATGGACACATTCACTAGCCGATCAGATCGTTTCCTAAAGTAACATAAAATTTCATGGAAGATATCATTGATTTGGACCCCAAATTTCCATGAAAGATATTTAAGATGAATAGGCAGTAACTTAACATTGTCGGAACCAGTAATCTATCGATTTTTAAGGGCAGATGCGTTTTTCCAATCCACATCTAAACGTTTTGGTGGGACCTAAAATTCTGAAAAGACGACCGGGTAGGACATTTGTTGGTTTCAGCAAAAAAAGTCGGTGTAAAAGCCAAACCTGAAAGCGAGTTATGACATTAGCCAGTGAACTGCTGGCATTGCAGCGTGCCAAACCTGGTAGCTTTTATTGCAACGAATGTCGGTGCCTAAAAGTTATGATGAAATGAATTATACCTTACGGCATTATTCTTACACTTTATTAAATATTTATACACTTTCAGTGGGTAGCCTAATCCGTTTTCCAGGCAAGACCTTTTCGTGTTGATCGCCTTGTGAATAAATTCTGTTTTGCAGTGATCAACCACATTTCCTCACATCACACATTTGTGAAAAACCAGTTCTCTCCTAATTAACAACGAAAATTTTGTCGGAATAAACCTGAAAGTATAGGTTTGTAAGGCTCAGTTCAGGTGTAGGTTGATCAGGTTCTCAAACAACACAGTGTTTTTTCCGCAGAATGGTGTAAATCGCGCAGTACCCGGAATAGTAAACGAATGGATTCATAGCAAATGCGACTACATCTAAGTGGCCCAATTTGACGTCCAGCTGTGACTCAATAAGTAAACGGCTCGCTGTAATGATACTCCGAGGAAACTTAGATAGATAGAAAGAGAAGAGTGGAAAGTGAGTAATTAAAATCGTTTCGAAAAGGTTTACTCATCTTTGAAAACAGAGGTTTGAGGCTAATTCAACCTAGACGCGGAATTATTTTTCACGGTAATGGTCATGTTTCTTCCATAAGGAAATCCAGAGTTTACTCCTTATGAGTTGCACTGTTGTCCAACTAAGCGTATTAGAATGGGACAGCGTCCCACGAGACGGCTAAAGGTTCAAAGCTTATCAAGGTTAATGGAATGTTCATCGCCATTGATTGAATTACAACAGATTTTCAGTGATATTTGCGTTCTTCGCATAGAATAACCTATTTTAATTAGAGAAACAGCAACTTCTCTTCCTCCACGAATGTATGCGACAAAACGCATTACCACGCAGTGTATCTTACCGACCACCACTGAACCATCCTGAGGCGTGGAAGCCCGCTAGACAGAACGGTAGGTGTATGATCAGACTGATGATTACGGGTGCTCAAAACTGACTAAGAAAATACGAGAAATTCCTCAACGAACAAAGAAAAACATGCCGGAGGACATTGGGGCCCGAAATTATAGAAAAACTCAGTGAAGCCATTGGTCGTAGAGTACGACCAATCGGTCGTAAAGTACTATTGAGAAGAAACGAGCCACACTTGAGCGCAAGTTCTACAGAATAACCAAAACACCGAAAACGAAGTATGGATCTAGAAAATTTCCAGAAGACAACTCACGGTAGCGGAAGAAAACGTGTTTATTAAAGGGCTTGATTTTTATTTCAGGGATGCTAGTAATCTAGAATATTTGGCCAGTCTCGAAGCAGCCTTCAAATACAACGGCCTCAATGAGGTACCCCAGCAAGCGATACGGCATATTATTGTCCCAGCTATCACGCGAAAAAAACACGCAACGCTTTATCTGCTGAAGACAAAAGAGCTATGAGCAGCCCCAAAGCGGACGAAACCATCGTTATTCTGCCAGCTGACAAAGGGGGAATGACAGTTAATCTAGAGATAGCGGAATACATCGACAAAGACAACGCTCTACTCAATGACACAACCACATACTGCCGTCTACAGAACGATCAAACCGCAAAACATACGAACAAGATAAATGAAACCCTAATGAAACCCAAAGATCTTCACAAAATTACGGAGGTGGAATACTGGAGAATGAAGGCTCGTGACTCAGAAGTTGCCCGATTCTACGGACTTTCAAAGGTTCACAAAGAAACAATACCATTACGCCCAACTGTCACACTACCAGAAACACCCGCACACTACAGTTCAAGAGAATTATAGAAGCTGCTGAAATAGCTAGCCATGAGGTCCCAATATTCGATCAACAATGCAGGACAATTTCTGGAGGAACTTAAAAACGTAAGAATCGAAGGAAACGAAATAATGGTGTCCTTTGATATAACCTTACTGTTCACATCGGTTGATTTAAATGCAGCGCGGACGGCGGTCGCCGAACTCCTGAACAACCGCAGAAACATCAGCGGAACACTCGAAAAAGAAGAAACATGTGAACTACTAAATCTGTGCTTGACAACCTACTTTGAGTTCAACGGAGAATAATATGAACAAATTAAAGGAGTGCTAATGGAGTCACCAATCTCTGGACTCATCGCTGAAATTACAATGCAGAAAGTGGAGTGAATCGTACTACCAGATACCGAATCGAAAATATGGTATGATATGTGGATGACACATTTACTATTGTAAAGAACAACGTGCTTGCCGACATCCAGTTCACAATGGAAACGGAGGAGAACAACAAATTGGCGTTCCTAGATGTGCTCGTCACGAGGACAATAAACGGCCAACTGAAAACTGAAGACACAGGTCTGAAACGCATATAGACCAGATTCTGGATTACCACAGCAACCATCCGAACTGTCACAAGCGGAGCTGTACTCTAACCCTATTCAGGCTGATAGAGACACATTACAACGCAACAGAAGCGAAGAAAAAAGAACGAAAACTCTACGAGACATTCCGAAACAACGGCTACCCGAGGAATTTCATATGGAGGTGCTTACGAGACCACCACCAAGCTAATCCATCAACAGAACCAGAATAGAGGAAGATTACGCCGCCCTACATCAGAAACGTGGCGGAGATGAATGTACGACATCTACGGCAACATGGAATTCCAGTCGCCTTCAAACCTACAAACACGTTGAGAAGAACTCGAAACGAAAGAAAGGTTGGATGCATTGAAGAAGACCAAAGTCGTCTAAATCTTAAGTGCAACGCCTGCGACAAACACCAAGTTGTCCAAAAAGAAGTAAACTTGCTACCAGAATACACGAAAACAAGCTCGCTAACAGAAGACATGACCCGATGTCACTTGTCTCAATTCACGGAGATAGAGAAGGACACAAGTTCAATTGGAACAATCTTCAAATACTTCCTCACACAAGAACAAAACGGGAGCGAGAATTTTCCGAGGCGTGTTACTCCACACAAAAATCGATCAATAAACATATCGACATTGACCCAGCCTATCAGCCGTTACGAGCAAAAGAACCATACAGTCACGGGACTCGGAGCCATGAAACCTAACGACCACCAACGGACTAATAGGATCAAAGGAAGACAATCACTAAAAGGAGAAGACCGCTGAATCAACCAATAAACGGAACAAACTCACACCACAAAGCAAGAAGAAATCGGCCGAATCACAACAGAACAATCACACACAGAACTGCCGAATCGAATGCGCCCAACAAACCAACGAGACAGAAGATTGAGACCACATCAGATTCACAGGAGACCAATCAAACTACACGAAGGTCGTTTCCGGAACTACCGGGTACTGTTTAGAAGCTATATAATCACAGACAGAAGAAGGGGATTCCACCCAGTCAACCCTGTGGTGGTGAAACGTCTGCAATCCAACTGCCACGCTTGGCGAACAGACCAACAACCAACCAGCGCACCCAAGCTCCCAACATTCCACAAAATCGCTCCTAGATAAGTCTGTTGATCACTCGATAAATAGACCATTAAAGCGAGTACTTTATCGGCTTTTCCCAACTCAGGTCACTGAATCTGTACAACAGCCATGCTGTCCTAACGGAACAATGTTCACTGCAAATTGAGTCATGTTTCAATAAACATTTTACAATAGCTTTCAGCGTCAACTACCCTGGCTAAATGCAGTTTGGTTATTCAGGGTAAACGATGAGGTGAAACAACACCATGAATCCAGAATAGATCTTTGTTTTGTTTCAGCAGATTGGTTTCCCTCTTGAGGGCAACCGAAAAATGGAAACATATGGTCCCCAAAAATAGGTGTACTTTGAATCGTGACTGACATTTCTCGAAGCCAATGCTGCATCACGTTTGTTATTCAGTATTGACTTCGGATTCACAGGGAAACTGCCACAGCGCTCAGACAAAACAAAATATGCAAAAAAACACTCGCAAAGGGACACATCATATATGTAACCATTCGTGCATATTCCGGTACACAAATTTTGTCACACACATTCATCACCATTTTGGCTACAAGCGAAACTGTTTACATTGTTCGCTCTGCTCTTCTTTTTGATGAACAAGAACATGGGCATCCTTGTATTCATTCGCCCGGTTCAGTTGCGTGTGCGCAATGGCATGATGTCACAACTTCCGGCATGAAACCTATAAAATAGTCCAAAGCACGAGAGAAAACCCACAAAAATTAAGTTCAACTGTCGATGAATAATGGGAGTGCGTGTCCTGTCACGAATGTACTATATTCATACAATCACGCATACCGCTCATCCAACATTGACCTCAAACAGTGGAAAACAGGGAGAAAAATTGAGTGACGAAATAATCCATGATGATTCGGTCCGCAGGTCACAAAACCAGATAGTTTAACACAGATCGATGCGTTCAACCAATAGAAAATTCTTCCGACCATAAAATCGTTCTTGTTGCAAAATTATTGTTAACTGTAAATACGTTAGAAGAGGTCGTAAAATATAAAGGTCCTCATTGAACCACACAAGCGTTTACATCGTGAGAACATCAAACATACCTGCCATGTTTTAGGAAATTTCCAATAAGAGGCTCCAAGAAATGAAAGCACACCCATCTACAAAATGAAAACCAACCAAATGATGAAAAGAACGTTGTCATTTCTATTGCTTTATTCATGCCGCTGTGAAACAGAACCAGATTATCTCCCGTTAAAGGGAGGGACAGGATGTTTATGATAACCATGCATGTTTGAACAGAGAATTCTCGTTTTGAAGCCAGTTGTTCTGAGTGTGAATCAAGTTACTTTCCCATAGGTTTCCATGTGATTCTGAAATAAACAACTACATGACGCATTTGTGCTTGATGGTTTTCACAAATTAGGTTTAGTATAGTCGACGGGGCAGCCTTTCGGTAAGCTGTCACCCGGAGCCAGCCTTTTGCGGTTTGTTGGAAGCAGGTTGCAGGCCTTCAACTGATATGCGCTGGTGACTTGCTGCGACCCTATCATGTCATGAGATTACGTTCTTAAAGGCATCACGAAAAGGACCCGACGAATTTAATCGATCTTGCCAAACGTTTATATCATGACGTGCAGTCGAATCACATTTTTATCTGGCGACATTTAGCGTATCGACAAAGCAAGCGATGGCCCGCATTACCAGGCATGAAAAATCGTGCTGATCATCCACTGTGTTGGGAACTAAGTTACATTAGCTACCTGCACTGCTGAACTGAGACATAATCGGTTGTGTTGAATTGTAACATATTCCCGCCGCTTCCAGTCCTCGAAAAGTTAAAAGCAACGTCGTATATTGCCTGTAAGAAACAATACCTAATTTCTATATGACAGGTTATTTTTCGATAAGAAGTTAATCATCTTACAGAACAACGGTCATTCCAACCAGTTTCTGGAATAAACGGTAGACAGGGTTCTCAGAGGCCTATCAACATTTGGTGTTTAGTGGATGTCATTCCGGTGACACCTAAGAAAAAGTTGGATGAGGAAAACGAAAGCGAGTACGCGAGCACCCGGTATGCGATTGAAAATACGTCTGAATTATACCGGTTTCCTATTGTAGGACAAATGCTAAAACAACAGCTTCCATTCCAAACTTCTTTTAGGTGTGCTTCCTTTTGTGCAGAACTCTTCACCAACGGAAATCCAAAGATGAGCATCAGAGCATTATTAAACATGACTCAAAAGGGGACTGCTGGCGGCCAGAATTTAGGTCTTAACCCATCTTGTGAACCAGAAGCATCGCGCGGACATCGATACCATATTCAGTGTCATAACGGCACAAAACCATCCCGCACAATTGTTGTTTGGGTGTTCACACACAGGGAACAGTTGCTGTGCACAACATAGAGAAGGATCATATGTACGGAACCGTTTTGTACAGAAACTCCTAGTGTGAGTCCATCTAGCATGATTGGCTTAATTCATTAGAAATGGCGATTTTCCTCTGCCAAAGCTATTGGAACAAATTCATTGGAACTGAAATAATACCAACCATAACACACAGAAATGTTGTGAGCTGACAGGTTAACTGAGTTTCATCGCGTCACTGAATACTTAACCCGGTCCACGTAATTCACTATGCAGTCACTATTGCAGTACTCAGCAAAAGTTAGAACCGTCTGCGCTGAAAAAATACTCTAAATTACATTGGAAGTGAGAGAAAAATTATGCTTCAATGAAGATTTCTCCCATTAGGTTGAGCTATCCTAGGCAACGCAAAGAAACACTACACAACCGTATCATTCACATTGTGGATCACCGGCAATAAACGCCTCTTGAGACTCAGAGACCTTTGAATCCACGACTTCCCGACTTGTAGTTTGAATACGTTACCGTTCGAAGATGAGCGGCTTGACTTGCCCTCCGTCAAGATATAGCACCACTCATCGTCCAATAACGGAGCCCAAATTACATAATGCCACATTGACTGGCAACTCTGCATAAGCGGA